GGTTTAATTGTTTTATTGGTTTATTTGTTTTATTTGTTTGTTGGTTTAATTGTTTTATTGGTTTATTTGTTTTATTTGTTTATTTGTTTTATTTGTTTATTTGTTTATTGTTTAATTGTTTTATTTGTTTATTTGTTTTATTTGTTTATTTGTTTATTGTTTAATTGTTTTATTGGTTTATTGTTTAAACCATCCAACCTGCAGTTTAGACTCTGTGTGTTTGCTGACATCATCCTGTCCTCGTCCAATCAGCTGGACTCTGTCCTCTGCTGATCCTCTTCCTGACCACCTGTTGCATCTTAGTGACGTTCTGCAGAACTCTGGCAGGATAAGACTTCAACCGGGACCCATCAGGACTCCACAGAACCCTGGCAGGAAAAGACCTGGACCTGGACCTGTCAGTGAGCAGCATCTACGAGGAACCCCAGAGAAACCCCTGAGTGATGTGAGTCAGCAGGTCTGCCTTCAGGAGGTAATCCCATCAGGATGTCGGTCCGGACCCTGCCCCTGGTCCTCATTAATCTGGGAGGAGAAATGCTTTACATTCTGGATCAGCGCCTGCGAGCTCACAGCACGTCTGAGGACGGGTCGGGGACAGGTACTGACAGAGGACTTCCTGTCTGAGAGGAACTGTCAGATATTTACTCTGAAACTTTCTCTTGTCTCTGCTTCTCCTTCCTGGGACCAGCTGCAGGAGTGTGGTCCGAACATGACAGGAAACGAGGTACGGGGGGCAGACCTGGTTCTGGTTCTGGTTCTGACTCGGTATCTCAGATTTAAAGCTGAACTCTGTGTTTGGTCTCAGTGATGAACGACGTCGTTGGGACCATYTTCTCCAAATCCTTCATGGATGAACTTCTGAAGCCGCAGCAGCTGTTCTCCCACAGAACCATGAAGACTGTGCTGACACGCCTAGCACACGCCTCCATCATGAGACTGAACCCCGCCAGCATGGACAGGGTGGGTCCACAAGAACCAGACCTGGACAGGGTGGGTCCACAAGAACCAGACCTGGACAGGGTGGGACCACAAGAACCAGACCAGGCTGGACAGGGGGGGTCCACAAGAACCAGACCAGGGTGGACAGGGTGGGTCCACAAGAACCAGACCTGGACAGGGTGGGTCCACAAGAACCAGACCTGGACAGGGTGGGTCCATGAGAACCAGACCAGGGTGGACAGGGTGGGTCCATGAGAACCAGACCAGGGTGGACAGGGTGGGTCCATGAGAACCAGACCAGGGTGGACAGCGTTTGATGGTCTTTATAAATCTGGATCTGGTCTTTGATTTTCTGTCAACAACATAAGTTTTAGAATTAATTCTGTTTATTTTTCTGCCTGAAACCTTTAATCTCAGATAAAATGAACTCAGTTTTAAATCTAGACCTGAAAACTGCTGGAAGGTTAATTTATTAATTTGTTTGTTTGTTTGTTTGTTTGTTTGTTTGTTTGTTTGTTTGTTTGTTTGTTTGTTTGTTTGTTTGTCTCATGCAGCTTTATGACTTGATGGTCATGGCTTTCAAATATCAGGTTCTCGTTTGTCCTCGACCCAAAGACCTGCTGCTGGTCTCCTACAACCACCTGGACTCCATCAGACAGTTAGTCCGGGACACTCCGGTGGTCCTGAACCAGGTGGACGAGACCCACAGGAGGATCATTGAGGTACTTCTCTCCTACCTGACATCTGTCTGGTCTCAGGTGGAGCAGGTCTCAGGTCAGGTTTTTGTCCTCTGCAGGTTTACTCATCTCTGTCAGAGGGACAACTTCAGCTCCTGAGACAGACTCTGCTGGTCTTCGTTCAGGACCTGCACATCCGAGTAGGTCCACTGCAGGGACTCTCAGAGACACTGATCCTGACTTTATTTAACCTGCAGTCCTGTCCTCTCAGGTGTCTCTGTTCTTAAAGAACCACATCCAGAACCCCAACGGGCGCTTCGTCCTGCCCACCTCGGGCCCGGTGCCTCACGGGGTCCAGGTTCCAGGTCTGATCAGGTGAAGACCCACAGAACTGATCCTCATCAAGCACAAACAGATGTTTAAACTCTGGTTCTGGTTCTGGTTCTGGTTCTACTGTCGGCTTGTTGTTTTCAGAACCTTTGACCCGAGGAGCAGAGAAGTGAGTCGGACCAAGTTTCAGAGCGGAGCAGGTTTCAGCGGCGCCGTCAGAGAGGGATCCTTTGATCTGAGCGGAGACCGCCTCCTCAGGCTGGGCTCCAACATGTATGTAACGTGTTCTGGTTCTGGTTCTGACCCGGCTGTGACCCACTTCTGTTTCCTGTTTGTATAAAGGTACGCTGCAGAGTATCCTCAGGAGACACACACGTCTACAAAACCTGGTGTCCAGGTAACGGTCCTCCTCCTCACCTGCTGTCAGGAGGGGCGGGGCTAATGGCACTGTCCTCTGTCCTGTCCTCTGTCCAGTCCTCTGTCCTGTCCTCTGAACTGTCCTCTGTCCTCTCCTCTGTCCTCTGTCCTGTCCTCTGACCTGTCCTCTGTCCTGTCCTCTGTCCTGTCCTCTGTCCTGTCCTCTGTCCTGTCCTCTGTCCTCTGTCCTGTCCTCTGTCCTGTCCTCTGTCCTGTCCTCTGTCCTGTCCTCTGTCCTCTGTCCTCTGTCCTGTGTCCTCTGTCCTGTCCNGTCTTATTGTGTGTGTGTGTACAAATATACATATACATATATAAAATATGTATATATCAAAATATCAAATAAAAAGTTTTATTTTATAATGAACTTGTTGATCATTTCTTCATTCATGGTGAACTCTCACTTCCTCTGACTTCTGTGCTGAACACCTGTCTGGTTCTGGTTCTGGTTCTGGTTCTGGTTCTGTGAAGTGTACCAGATGGAACACACACAGGGCAGTATTAAATAAACAACAACAAAGTTTGATGTTTTTATTCTTTATTTCAGGAACCAGAGATGATGTCATCACCCTCTGTGACACTGCCTCTGCCTCACTTCCTGTTTGGGTTTTATTTTGAAAGGGACAGCAGGAAGTTGAGCAGGGTGGGCTCCAGGTGTTTCTGATCCTGGTCCAGGTTCAGGTTTTGGTTCTGGTCCAGGTTCAGGTTTTGGTTCTGGTCCTGGTTCAGGTTCTGGCTCTGGTTCAGGTTCTGGCTCTGGTTCTGGTTCAGGTTCAGGTTCTGGTTCTGGCTCTGGTTCTGGTTCTGGTTCAGGTTCAGGTTCTGGCTCTGGTTCTGGTTCTGGTTCAGGTTCTGGTTCAGGTTCAGGTTCAGGTTCAGGTTCAGGTTCTGGTTCTGGTTCTGGCTCTGGTTCAGGTTCTGGCTCTGGTTCTGGTTCTGGTTCAGGTTCTGGTTCAGGTTCAGGTTCAGGTTCAGGTTCTGGTTCTGGTTCTGGCNTCCTCCTCCTCCTCCTCCTCCTCCTCCTCCTCCTCCTGCTGGTGAAACTCAGCTTCAGGCTCGGCAGCGGACATTTGCGCGGAGGACTTCGGGAGACCCGGACCTCGGTAGAACCGGATCGGAGTGTTTGGGTCCGTCCTGAGGAAGGAGCGGTTCCGATCCAGGAAAACATCGTTTCCTGTTTTTTTCTCTGCTGTTTGCTCTCAGACCGGTTCTGGTTCTGTGGTTCCGCTGAAGGATTCTGTCGCCTTTTCTCCGGGTTCTGGTCGGGTTCTGGTCCGTCTGCTGGTTCTGAAGAGTCCGGTCTGATGCGGTGCTGCTAACTTTGGACCTGCAGCCCGTCAGTGGAGGTCTGACACCGAGTCCAGAACCAGGTCTGTCCGCTGGACTCCTGCCTGACACGGAACCAGGAGGAACCGAACCTCGCTGTCGGAACCAGGCAGAACCCCTCCGTGAGGAAGAGGAGGAGGAGGAGGAGGAGGAGGAGGGTTTACCTGGAGCACATTTAACGGTCAGTTTCTTCTTCTGTGGTGGAAACCGTGTGAGCTGCTGCTGCTACTGCTAACTGCAACTGCTGCTACTGCTA